CGGGGGGTGGGGAGTGGGGGGCGTCGCCCGGGGGCGAGGAGCGCGGCTGGGGTGGGGCGTGTGCGCTCTGCGCCGAGGAGCTAGGCTGACGTGCCCGCCCGAGCGCGCGTCCGGGAGTGTGTGTGCGAGAGTGTGTGCGAGAGTGTGTACGTACACGCCTTCGGGGGCCGAGTGACACTGCAGTGGGCTTCTCCCTAGCCTCAGCCTTCCGGCTGCTCAACCCCCAACCTGCCGCACCGCTTTTGGAAAGCAGCTTGGTGGCTCTTCGTCTTCCCGAGCCTTCCTCTCCATCCTTTCATCCACCCCTGGCCAACCTTACTTTTTCTTTTACCCACCCGGCCGCAGCAGACCGCCCCTCAACCGGTGCAGACACCCAAGCCGTCTCCAATTCTTCCCTAAGCCAATATTTCCCCACCTTTCTCTGGAGCCCCCTCCACGAGCCAGTCCAAGGCTCCCCCATCCTTGGAAATTGTTTTGTTGGGCTGCTGTACCGAGGCGTGTAAAGCTCGAGGGCTTTATTATTATTTTGATTCTTTTCATTTCCTCCCCTTCTGGGCAACGGAGCAATGAAATTTCCAATCGAGACGCCAAGAAAGCAGGTGAACTGGGATCCTAAAGGTTGGTATTTGCTACTTTTGGCCGCCCTTGCCCGGCGTGTGCGCGCTTCCATGAGTGAAAGCACTCTTGCCCCCTGGCAGCGTGTGTCCCGAGGCTGGGAAATGCTCCTGGGGACTGCAGCGCGGGTGGGAGGAGGGCGGAGGCAGCGTGGGTTCGGAACCCAGATAGCGCCTGTCATTACCACAAAATCATTGTCCTTCCTGGATTTAAAAAAAAATCTGTTTAAAGATACACCAAACTGACTTCTTGGTTTGAAATTGCACCAAGTGTCGATATTTGCTTTTGACTTCGGGTGTGCAAGTGTGTGTGTGTGTGTGTGTGTGTGTGTGTGTCCTTTGTTTCTGGTGATCTTTGTCTCTCTGGCAGATGGGTGGGGTGCTTCTCCTGGACCTGGAGCTGTACAGCAAGCCCTGGGTGTCCTCAGTGGGAAAGGTTTCCTGGCAGCAAGTGAGGCTCTGATCTGTAGCCACTGTCCCTGGGGATGGCCTTTCGCACAGGGCAAGCATAATAATGGAGCCCCTAAGGCCTCTGGAGTCTTCGTTCGATCTTATTACCAAACTAGGCAGCTGGTTTGGCTCAGGTTGGAGTAGAAGCGGGCGGGGGAGTGGTTTTCGAGATGGGTGGGGCTGGCAAGGGCTCTGGGAGGGGTCTCACAGTGTGCCCACTGCAGGCAATGGTGTGGTTTACATGCTTTTTACAAATGTTTGTCTATGTGCCTTCCCTGCAAAATAGGTAGATTTGTGTGTGCCTAGTGTTGGTCACCGTGAGTGAAATTACCATCCAGATGTTAAGGTTTCTCCTGAGTGCTTAATAAGGGAGCTGAACACTTTGACAGCACGTGTCCAGTTGTGACCAGAATGCTCTTCAGCATGTTCTTAGCTCATCTGCAGGCTGAACTGGGCTAGGAGTGGCCTCTGGGTGTGTTTTGGGGATGAAATTTATTTGGAGGGTGGGTGTCTGTTTAATGTTCTTTATGAGGAGCATTTCTTCTCCAGAATGGAAACAGGAAACCCACGCAATTTGTTAAGTAAATGACTTATGAATTGACAGGTAGTTTAAGACTGAATGGAAAGGTGTTGCCCTTCAAAAACACTGAGTTTTTTTTTAAACACCTTAAATACAATCCAGACTTACCTTGTTTTTAAATCTCTAGAAATATGAAAGTGTATGTTTTTTTTTAATTCCTCCAGAGCACATTTATTGAATACCAATCACAGTCTTAGGCACTGGAGATATAGTCAGAACAGGGCAGACAAAAGACTCTAGCTTCTTGTAGTTTAAAGTAAAGGAGACAGATTTAAAGCAATCATTGCATGGAGGAGTCCATAATTAAAAGTCTGTGTATGTACCATGAGCATCAGGATTTTAGGGAAGTGTTTGATAGAAGAGATTGACAAGGACCAACGGTGGCATGTGGCCAGGGAATCCTTCCCTGAGGAGATT